ATCCTTCCCGGAAGCACGATCCGTTCTGCACATGCGCTATGCACATCCAGATATACATCTGGGTCCTTTTCAATTTTATTTTATTAGTCGTCTCTGCCCGATCTGTACCGGAAATGGGATCCTAAGCTACTTCCAGTGGCTAACTTTTTTGGCTTTGGATTTAAACATAAATCAAATTTTTGAGTTTTATGTTTTGTTTCATTTTAATCTTATATGCTATATAGTGCGGAATCTAAAGACAATGCAGATAAACATGGTTTAATCATATTTTGCCGGACTACCTTGAACATGTCCCATGATGACATCAGAGAAGCAGTTTAACGAAGAAAATGTAAAAAGCATAAAAATCGTCTCGCAGAAGTCATAAAACATTTCTTAAAGATGTGTATTAGCATTATTTAGTGAGTTAAGGATAGAAATAAGTCGTTTTAGTACCATAATTACATTATTTATAGACACCCGGATGTATTTCTGTTCATGATGCGCAGAATGGATCGTGCTTCCGGGATGGATTGGGTAGTGACATGCGGCAAAAGACCACAGGTCGGATTCGAACCAGGGTCGGCCGTGTTGAGGACTAAGGCCTGCGTGCTAATCACTGCCCCACCTGCACACCCAAGTTTTAAAACATACATTTTCTACATTTTGGCACACCATCATCTGATAAAGAGTACATTTATATAGATGTTTAAGTCAGAATGATTTGACATTTAAATATGACTTCCCTAGGACTTTAAGCTAAACCTTTGATTGTAATTTAATTATGTAAAACTTAGCTTGCCGAGATTCCCTAGAAATCTGGGCAAGCTATCTTGAAATGTATTTCCTCCCCCTGTGCCTCCCTTGGGACTGTGGGACATGTTTTGAAAGTGGAGCTCAGCAAACAAAAAGAATACCCTTAAATAAAGAAGTTACCAAATGATGACTAATTTACAATTTGGGCTAAATGATTTAGCCAAAAATAAAAATTTCCAGTCATTTGCTATTTTATTTCTCATCTACAATTTCCAGTAATTTTCTGCGTTCCTAAAAAACATGTTGATTTTTAACTCCATGGTTTCATTATTCTTATGACCTTGAAAATGTTCTTGTCCAGAAGGTCTTAGCTGCAAGACTTTACCATTACTGTTGTGTGAAAAAGTGCTCACTTCTCGTTGCATGGATGGATCTGCACACTAGCTGTAACTCTCTTTCCCCTCAGTTTCTTAGTCTGGTTGAATGTAATGTGAACAAAAACCGCAAGTTAAAAAAGGCATTTTGTTAAATTGAGATTATATTGCAAATTCAATTAATTGGCCAAACCTACTGTACCTTTAAGCAGGATACAGACTATCAAGCTGCTCTCAGAGTCACAGCTCAAACACTCATTATAACCTAGTTGTTTATCAGATATGGTTTCTTTTTGTTTAAAAAAAAAAAAAACATTTGTTATTCATGAGACAAGGTGGACATGAGCTGCCAACTGAAATATTGAATTCCTTACAAATCAGATGAAACCTTCGTCTGACAAAATGTGTTCTGCAACAACACACTTTCGCACTGTTGGAAAATAGTCACAAATATATATTAATTAAGCTGCTTTAAATGCGGGAAGAAATGCAATGCAAGTTTAATTTTCCTCAGCAGCACTGATTATTATTTTTTTTTTTTAACATCCTATGTGCTTGGATAAGAGCTGCTTAAAATTCAGACATAATTTCTCATGCTTTGCTGGTGGGCTTGAAAGGGAAATACGGGTGCTGGACAACAAACTGAAAACCCAGAAGTGAAGCAGTGATGGACAGACAACAGTGAGAATCCAGACAGATATTTTTTTTGGCAGATAGAAAGCTTATCTGTATGCAGCCAGAGACCTGAAGCTTTACCAGCTGCTGCAGGGGTTGGATTGCACATGTGGAGTGAAAAGGACATAGGCTACTGACGTCACATGTGAGTAGTCCTTCTACGGCCATGATCTATTTCTACATCCATTAACTCCTTTGTCCTGTGCTTGAAAACACTCACAGGAAAAAGGAGTAAATCTTTTGTAAAAGATTTGGGGAAAAGTGTTGAGAAAAGAAGCATATTCGTCAGTGTGATTGTGTTTGGTCCACTTGACTGTCAGACAAGCCAGACTGCATGCAGCTGTGATAAGGGAAGAGGAAGATGCCTGCCATGTTCCTCATAATATCGACTCAGCACTTTCTTCTTATTGTGTCAGCTTGTAGTTTATAGATCACACCTATGAAAACAGAGAGCAGGCTTATGCAAGCCTAAGTCATTGATTGGTATGACGAAAACCTTTGTCGTGAGTTTTACAGACATTAGACATTAGACCAGCTCACAGGTTTCTCTTTTGAGATGCAAGAAATCCACATTTTGTAGCTAATTGACTGGATGTCCCCTTTCTTAAGCTCCAAAGTCAAATATACATAAGGAGATATTCTGAACAAACATTGCATGAACGCCACTATGAGTCTGAAAACCATAGCAGAGTCAGAATTTTACCACAGGCACCCAAACTGAATACAAAACAACATGTAACACCGATCAGAGAGTGTTCTGCAATGACTTTCATGAACCCAAAGGGCAAACTTTAATAACACTTAAAGGCTTTATTAATGCAGCTTTACACTGATGTTTATTGGAGATTTTGCAATCATTTTAATGATTTTAGGATGTATGTAATTGTGATTCTATGGGTGCATATTGCATTTTTATCAATTACAATCAAGATTTTTTTCTGTCTCTTTTTATTACATTTATTCATCTAAATGCTCCGACCATTCTTTCACTGAAAAAACTTTTCCAAAAATGAGTAAAAATGTATTTTTTTTTTATTATTTTAAATGTATAATGCTTTTTAAACAAATTACAACTATTTCTGTATTATCGGTATTATCTTGAAGTAACAGATGGTTTCCCCCCTTCTTCTAAAACCAGCTTTGTAATATATGCTGCAAAAGATTTTTTCATTTTTACATTTTGTCATGTTAGTCACACTGCCTGCATTTCATTTATTTTCATGAAATTTAAAGGCAATTGGTTGCCATTCAATGACAGCACTGTTACCTTGCAGCAAAAAGCTTGTGGGTTCGATTCCTAGTTCGGGGTCTTTCTGAATGGGGTTTGTATGTTCTCCCTTAGCATGCTTGGGTTCTCTCTGGGTACTGCTGCTTCCTCCCAGTCCACAAGGTTAATTGGCTTCTCTAAATTCTCCTGAGGTGAGTGTGTGTGCATGAATGGTTGTTTGTCTCCGTGTTGCCCTGCAATGGACTGGTGATCTGTCCAGTGTGTATCTCGCCTGTTGAAAGCTGGACATTGGCACCAGCACCCCCCATGACCCCATCAAATAAAAAATAAAAAAACTTTCTTCAATTTATTTTACACCTTTGTATATAAAATAATTTTGTTAGGTTAACAGCGGGGTCTGGTATAATACATTTCCTCTGATAGTTGAGTGTTTTCCTCATGGCCCTATCTTCTGCTTTGTTGTCATAGTTACAAGCGAGTGGTGACCCCTCGGCGAGCTGGGACATCTGTGCTTTTATGTTGGCTGGTATCCATCCTTGTTGGCCTCACGCCAATGTTTGGCTGGAACAATCTGCAACGTCTTCTTAACAACAACACCTTGATCACCGAAGAGCTGGTGGTGACCTGTGAGTTTGAGACAGTCATCAGCATGGACTATATGGTCTACTTTAACTTCTTTGGCTGGGTCCTGCCACCTCTGCTGCTCATGCTGGCCATCTACATAGAGATTTTCTACATGATCCATAAACAACTCGACAAGAAGGTAAAGCCTTATTATTCAAATGACAATATATTGAAGAGGGAATTGTTTTTGTTGTCTAAATGTTCTTAATGCTTAGACTTTTAAACACCCCAACATTTAGGTTGTTGGTTGGGATTAAGAATGTAAACAAATAGACAACTTCTCTTTAATTGTCAATAAATGTTTTATTAAATTTGATTTTGCTTAATCAGATTCATAGATGACTTCTGCTTAAAGGAATTTCTTTCTGAGTTATAGTGTGCTTGCATCCAGTAGAGGGCGCTGCTGTGTTTAATCATAAGCTCACTGGCATTTGCAAGATAAGTAATACCAGAGTGGAAGCATGTCACAGCAGATACATTAATTGATCCAAAGTTCAGTTTGGATTATTTAAATTGTTTAATGGAAAAAAAATTATGCCAGTGCCAGTTTAGCTGTGCTGCATAATGGAGCAGCGTCAACTTCTTTGTTGTGATTCGAAAGGCGAGTGCGTGACAATAGAAACATGGAGGGCATTACACAAAACATTTTTAACATGATAGAAAATGCTCACAATAAGCATCGTAGATTGGAAAGACTTTTATAAGCTATATGCAGCTAAGTTTTAACATTACACTGAGCAACCAGCACCACCAGTTTAAAAGCACTGCTAACAGCACCTGATTACACTAAAAACATTGACCTATATACCAGTAAGCATTCACTCTAATGAAATTAAGTGGGAAATAGTCTGACAGCATGTTGAAGCGACATACCCTGTCTGTAAATTATAGTTTTACATCCCTGTTTATTGAAAAGTATGTTTTAAATATTTTTTTCATAATTTTTCAGTAACTTATGCAATGTTTTTATCCTATTACGTGTAATAATGAGTAAGAAAACATATTTTAGTCTATTCAGTTAGTATTTAATACAGCTTTTACAGTAAATTGTTAAAATATGATGATGTACGTAATTCAGAATAATGTAAAATAAACTATTTAACCTTGTTATATAAAGATCTTTTAAAGGATAAAACTTATAATTTTAAGAAAATTGACACTTATCATTTGTTTATTAACAAGATCAAGAACTTAAAATAAAAAGAAAAAGTTGTTGGTTTATTGTTACATTGGCTGATGGGCTTTGTTTTTTATGTCTTTAGGTGTCAGCAAGCCACATGGATCCCAGGCGTTACTTTGGAAAGGAACTTAAATTAGCCAAGTCTCTTGCCCTCGTCCTTTTCCTCTTCGCAGTCAGCTGGCTCCCACTTCACATCCTCAACTGCATCTCCCTCTTCATCCCTGACTGCAAGCCGTCGATGTACCTAATTTACATAGCCATCATCCTCTCCCACGGCAACTCAGCTGTCAACCCCATCGTCTACGCTTTCCGCATCAAGAAGTTTCGTACAGCGTTTCTTAAAATCTGGAAACAGTACATCCTCTGCCAGGACCCCATCGGTCGTCTTCCTCAGAGAGGGAGCCAGAGAGCACAGAGGCGCGAGATGAGGCTCAGGCAGAACGACGACGATGATGACGACGTTTGACCTTTGGGAACTAATTGTGCTACTTGTGTCACTGACAATTTTTAAAGCAGTTGTTTACAGAAGGGAAGAGACTTCATGCTTGAGGAGCTGCAGATCACAATGGCATTCAGGGTATAACAGACACTCAATCATGGGTTGAAGGATTTCCTCCTTCTGACATTCAACAAGAAGAAAGGATTACAAACCCTAGTAGGGATCTGTCGTCGGAATGACAATGTCTTTTTTCTCAGCAAAACTGACTCGGTGTCTGGTGAGGGAAGCGGCCCTTTTAAAACCAATCTGTCTGACTCAAAGCGATGAGTGCATATGCATACTGTAGCACCTCTGGCACCATACCCTTGTGTCTTGTATGTGTTGATTTAATTTACAGTTCCCACCTTTCAAGATCTAAAAGAGTTCAAATGTATTATCTTGAAGTCTACATCAAAATGTTTAATTCTGTGGCCTTAAAAAAAGCTCTTCTTTAACTGTGTGAACATAATGACTCTGGTAAACCAATGGAGACCGAAGAGGAAGTTTTTTGAACAAGCTTGGTGCTTTGACAAGACTTTGGACATGGGGGATGTTTTAGATTACTATCAAATCAGGATGTTGAGAAAAATGGCTGCTTTATTGACATTATATTAAAACTAAAACCAATCAAACTCTGTATTCCCTTGAAACTCTTTATATTTTTTCACAATGTACTTCAGTATTTTTTTTATTGCATTGTATTCCTGACAAGCCAAGACAGACCATAGAATACCTGAAATGGATGAAAAATGGTACATGTTTGCAAAACAAGTAGAAAAATACAACAAATACAAGTCAATTTCAAAATACTTTATTAATCCCAAAGGATAATTAAATTTTGCAGGGACTCATAGGTTATAATTTATCCAGGTTTAGTACGTGTTGATTGCTGAAGGCAGGAAGGATATTCTATAGAGGTCTGCCTTGCACCGGATCTGGAGAACCCTCTGACTGAGTACACTGTTGTTTAAAACACTTTGCTCACCGTTGCCCATAATCTTCTTCACTTTATGAATACTTCTTCTTGGTGAAATAATCTCCAGAGGTTCCTTCTTCTAGATGGCTTCACAGTTGTGTCTTCAATCTAGTTTGTTGTCCTTGTGAACAACAAGGTATTCATACTCCTCAACCACCTCCACTTCTTTTCCTTTTATGTTAATAGGATTCAACTTGTTCCTGTTTCATCTAAAATCTACAATCATCTCCCTTGTTTTGTTGACATTCAGGATCAGATGATTGTTTCCACACCATGCAACAAAGCAGTTCACCATCTCTCTGTACTCAGCTTATTGTCCATCTTTGATGCACCCAATGACTGCAGAGTCATCTAAGTGTTTCTGCTGATAACAGGATTCTGTTGGGTACTAGAAGTCAAACATGTAGTAGATGGAATGGAGAGAGTACAGTCCCCTGTGGTGCTCCTGTACACTTATTAGCCTCTCTCTACTCTGCTGCACCTAAATAAAAATCACATGCTTTTTCAATTCAGAAATCCTTGCCAATGTGTAATTTAATCTCAGTAAAACTCCATCTTTTGTTTGAATTCCTAAGAGCTTTGATAGAGAACATTCGTAAACAAGTAGTATTATAGAGAGCAAACTAGGGAAGTCCCAATATAACCCCAAGTCTGGCAGCTGTAAACAGTTCTTTAAGTTTTACATTTTAAGTTATGTAACTGACTGTTTTTCTGCCTTTCACTTTTAAGTTATAGAGTGCTGTATTTTCAGTTGGTCTGTCAAATACAATCCAATAAAATACTCTGAGGTATGTGGTTGTAACATGATAATACAGGTTATGGTTTTAGTATATGAACACTTTTTGAAAGGCACTGTATGTGAGCTTTTTTAAGTATTGGAGGCCCTGTGCACTCTGAAGGAAAATTTGTAGATTGTTATTAGTATTTTTATTTTTTGCAGCTGCTGTCTGCAGGCCAACATCATTTTTCGTAATAAAAAGCAGTTTTTATTTAATTTTTTTTATACATGTGGACTGGATGCAGTGGGGTCTACTGGAAACTTTACACGTGCCAATTATTGTTTTTATGCTAAACACCACAAAAAGTATGGATGCTTTTTTATCAATATATTTTTAATCTCTTTTTTTCCCATTAACTTTAAATGTTTAATGAATATATAATGATAGGAAGAAAATGTATTAATGTCATTTTGAATCAGAAGTATTTGTGCATTTTAATGTGAATTTGAAGCTGCAGAGAGAAAAAATTTAAAAGTTTTGTAATTAGTCTCTTTTCCAGGGCTGGTTCATGCTTTGTTTTTCCATACAAAATAATGTGACTAATTTTTCCTGTAAAAGTGCTATGGTCCCTCCAAGTGACCCAGTACTTTGTAAGGCTTATTCAAGCTTTTGGAGGGGATGGGGTTGCAAGGAGCAACAATTGGTGGACTGTCTGGCTTTTTTCTTTTTAAGTCCGCCTATCTTGCCACCTTTAACCAGCTGTTGTTTTGTTACTGCCAACACAGACACACACATGTTGTGTCATCCTAGCCTTGTGGTGACTTTCAACTGACTTTCATTGTCCCAGGGCCTTCTAGGGTAATGAAAGAGGAATATGATGAATTATTTGGAATTCCTGTTAACCGGAGTAATGCAAAGCCTGGGGCTTTCAGTTGAGAAGGAGCTATAGTAGATGACAAACAGAAAATGTTAAACCACCTCAACTTTCTGGAACAACAAGTCTCAGATTGTGCTGTGAATCACACATAAATATTTTGCATTTTCAGTTTTGCTCCAGGTAATATTGAAAAAAATGGTGCAAAACAGATTCAAATATTTGGATTAAATTTTTCACAGCTAATTTTTTTATGATTATTTCGTAAACAGTGAATACAATACAGATCTGCTGCTGTGAGTCACAAATTCCGGTTTACAATTTTATCTTAGCTTCCACTCACTATAAGGTTTTGGATTAAGATGTTTTTTTTTGGGTTTTTTTTATAGGATTTTTTTTTGGGACACATGCTCAAAAGTTTAAAGAGATGCAACTTTTTGTATTTGTAAATCTTAAAAAAAATCTAAAATTACAAAACGTCTATTCTATTTCTCTGTTTTACTTCAAATTCACAGTTACAATGCATAAATGCTTATAATTGAAAATTACCTTGATAGTAATAGTTAACTTTATGAGAGAAAGCAGGAGCCACCAATCGTTTGGATGAAAATAGGCTGAGCCTTGCCTTGACCATGTTCAGGGTGTCTTCTAGCAAAGCAGTCTCTGCAGACTGTAAATGTTGTTTTTCTGGTAACGCTGTCTTTACATTACTTCAATAACCATGTAATAACATGGTAATAACATAGCAAGTTACACTATATCCTAGGTAACAAGAAAATCTTTATGGAAAATTTTGGTAAGTGTTGTGCTTCAAATTTTAGGCAAACAAGGTAAAGTCAGACTTCGTATATTTCAAAACCTTTATTACCAGGTAACTCAGTCATTTCACCAACAGCAATACAATAATGCATTATTATTTAGTAAAATGCAGTTTATGACTCGACAAACCTAGAAGACAGCAAGCCAATATTATTAACTAAACTCTCATTTATATGTTAATTAAATTCAGTTTTATAATGCATTATTTACCTGATCATAAGTTACAATTTACTTTGTATTCTGCTGGTAGGTGGTGGCCGATGATAGAAACCATTGTAACCTAATGGTAATTACTCACCAAATGTGTCCATTTGGTGAGTAATTCCCAAATTCTCGTTACCAAGTAATGTAGTGTGACTTGCTATGCTATTACCATGTTATTACATGGCTTTTGATGTACTGTAAAAGAGAGCTTTAGTTTTTCTTTTTGTTTTGTAGTGGAGGAAACAGACAGGTATAAAGAAAATACCAGGTGTATTGCTGCAAGGGCCTGAGACCATTTAATAGTTAAAATAACAATTTCTGTCCACCAACTACTGCTATTAATCAGATAATCAGAAATCTGTGCATTTTAATATACACTGGTGGTTCTACTGCTCTGCCTAAGCTGTTTAGTCATACCCTTTCATCCCTACTGCACAGCTGACTGGCCCGTTTATGTTCAGAGTGTAGTCTTCATTTATCAGAAGACGCAGTTCATTTTCCTTTCAGGGCAGACACATATTGATTAGCATAGTTTGTGTATAGTGAATCATAATCAACACTGTCCACATGATAACACATGACTGCTGACACAAATATTATGTATAGATCTGTAACTAATATACGTAAAGATGTTGATGGGAGATTCTGTTAAGGATTCATCTTCCCCAGAAGAAAGCAAACACCCAATATCTTATTTCACATGCAAAATATTCAATGGGTGCAAAAATCCTCATTTTAGAGGCAGATCTTCTTATTTAGCTGCTGAAATGAAGGGAAAATAGATGAATTTGTTTTTTTAAGTTATTTTAGATCAGTTTTTGCAGAGTAGCTCTGATTTTGTAAAGAGCAAAACAATGAAACTGTTTAAGATTTTCTTAATTATTTGAATTAGATTTTTGAAACATCGAAATTCAAAGACTTTTTTTTTTCCCACAAAGAAAACATACATTTTCTCAATTGACTCAATGTCTGCCTGTATGATGCGGTTAGGTGTCATTTTGATTTTTCTCTGCATGTTAAAATCAGAGATTTCTACAATTATTGAAAAGTATGTTTATGGGAAATCTCATTTAGGCAAAAATCTAGCTCTACCAAGGTACAGCAAATCGGACCTTACTCAGACAAAACCATTCCTCGATGGATTGTAATCTAACAAGATTGGGTGGCTTTATTTCTGTATTTTTCTGTTTTTATGAATAATGTGTCCTTGTGATTTCTTTTTTTTTTTGTACTTTTCTCCCCCTGATGTCTTTGATTTTTTTTACAATGCACTGAAGAAGGTTCAGATCAGTTAAACGTCTAACCAAACTTACCCTCTGAATTTTTCTAAATATTCTACAACTCTACAAAAGTGGAAGAAAGCAGTGGAAGTTTATTAGCACCTTACTGTTCAGTTTTTATTTAAAAGCATCTGTCAAGGGGAAGACCGGATTAAAATGAGAACCTATAGTTCAAATAAATCATTTCAAGCTGAATGCTTTGTCTTGTCCTTTTTCTGTTAATAGTTGTTTTTTGTCTCATATTTAGTATTTTATGATTTTCACTTCTGCAGTAACAAAATGCCTATTGAATGACAGGATAGAATGTGAACACACTATATAAGTTCACTTTCAAAAGCATTTAGGACCCTTGAACTTTCTCACATTTTCTGATAACCACACAAAATTAATGATCGTTGAATTTGGAAACCGTACATGTTTTAATCTCAAAATAAATGCCTTTAACTTGTCTTCTAAACATCAATGAACAAAACAACATATAGAGGATCAAGAAACCCTGCAAATGGCTTACAGACAGAGTTGAGTATCAAACAATGTTTTTCCGCTTTAACAATCTCACAAACCACAGTTCAAACTATGACCAATGAAACTGATGCCCAACAGTTCTTTGGAGGAGCTGCAGAGATTAATAGCTTGGGTTTTGGAAACCAATGTTTAAATATTGCAATGATTATTAGCTGGGCCCCATGCAGATCTGGATTTAATGGATAAGTAGAAAAAAAGGAACATATTAATGGCAAACACAGAAACAAAGGGCATCTAGTAAGATGAGACCAAGCAAATAAGAGGACCAGAACTGAACAGATTAACACATGGACACACTGTCCCAACCATGTTTCAGGACAGTCTTACTGAGGGGATGAAGGACAACAACACTGAACATGTAGTTAGAGCAACTATAAAAATAAGTTCAACCAAAGCCAATTCAGAAACTAAAACGTTCCAGGCAAAGCCTAGAGCTACATAAAATCAATTTACAGTTAGCTATAATATAAATTATCATACTGTATCCACTGAGATGTTAAACTACCTTAAAAACATGAACGCTTTATCTTTATACTTCATGTTTATGTACACAATGTCACCAAATTAAATAGGTTATGAATGTTTTGCAAGACTTCTTATTAATGTTAGTTTTGGGTTTAGTTTAAATTAGTGTAAATAATGATAACCAAGCCCTGTGCATCAAGTGATTAAGATTTTAATTACAAATGTATTTGCAGATAATGCTTTTAATTAAAATAAATGTTGGTATGGGTGAGGGGGGATGCTTTTTGTACAGTGTTACATTAAGGAGATCATGTAAAGCAGGGTTCATATGTTTTTAATGTTGTTTTTAATGACCAAAGTGGATTTGTTTGATTTTCAGAGACTGAAGAATTCATATTTTGTGGAGAAACTGGTTATCGCATTTAAATGAAGAGACGGAGGCAGCAGAAAGGGAGTTTTTAGAAGCCCGAGTCTTTATTAGATAAAACCTAAAGCAGAGTGGGATATTGCAGGATGGTTACTGAAACTCAGTGGTTTAACAAACATGCAGGGGAGAAAAAGAAGGATATATATTATCTATTTCCTTCTGATAAAATTCTGTCTTGCTTACATTCCTTCTGGTTTTGTCTCCTGACTTATCACTGATCTCTTTCCTAGTTTGGTATATTTTTCTGCTCTGTTTCTTCAACTTCCTTGAAGCTTTTCCTGGTCATCGTTCCACAGAAATGCTATCAAGATCTACCCAGAAATCTCCTCGCAGCTTCTTGGCTTTACCCACAGACTGTTTTTAGTTTGCCTTTTTGCTTCCGTGCTTTTCTTAATGTGCTGTTACATTGTTTTCATACCATTCTATCAATATCATTTTTAAAATCTTGTTTAACAAAATAAGTCATTATTTTGAATCAATGTTTAAATATATTAGGACTATTGAGGAAAAAAATAACCAGTAAAGGCTTTTATAGATGAAATGAAAGCTTGTTTGGATTTTCAATAACTGGCTGGGATTTTTTCTTCAGGAAGAGAGGATCAACTTCCGAAGGCAAGATAAACTCTATTTGATATATAAATGGCGTTTTTAATAGGTCAGGCTCTGTTTTGAGAAATTATTACTTATTCTGGGGCGGTTTTGAAGTTACAGGAACACATGGAATAAACATCAGTGACAGCATGTTTTACTACCTGTTATTTCATGTAGAG